ATGTGCATGTATCGAACTTTTCTGAAATGAAATTGGTCAACCCCCTCCCACCCCATAACGAAATTATTTCGTTTCGTGAAAATAGTTCGATAATTGTGGACGACCCCTTAGTTCTTACAATTTCGATAAGTATGTCCGGCTATTTAACAGGTGTCTAAGAATAGTTTTTGGTTTCGACAACTTTACCAGTGTCTCACATATTCTTAGCCTATACAATCTCTCCCACATTTCCGTCCGAGTCAATTTGAAGCTTTTTATTTTTGTATTTCGCTCTGTCCATAGCGGCACATGCAGCTCTCTCCTAAAAGAAATTTTCCATACCCGCTCCTCCAGTGCACACACTACTGCCATCACTGACTAGGTCCCAAATTTCTTTTTCTCTGGCCTTGCCCTCTGCCTGCACTAAAGCTGGTTTTTCTCGTCTTGGCTACATAGGTTCTGATCGGTGGAACATGCTGCCTTCCACTGTTCGCTCTTGTACAGATTATCGCACATTTATATTATCCGATCATGCTAGGGGCTCCCGTAAGAAGACCATAGGCATACATTGTAGGTCTGTGGGAAACACCCTAGTAAAATAAATAAAATTAATAATAATCCCATAGACTGATCCTGTCGTAGGAGGCAACGAGGTGTCATCGGCATTTATAAGAGAGCCACTTTCATGTATTATCAATTTATCATAAAAGCAGCTGATACTATCGCCCGTTGCAGAGTTCTATTCGACTTACAACATTACAGGTAATCAACTGCAAACTGGTGCAGCCCTGATGCAGGTGAGCTTCACATGCACATCTGACATTGAACTGTTTCTGCATGTGTGAACTGTGCCTTTTGAAAATGTTATCATTTGGCCTGTCAAGGTGGGGGCAATCTCTGGAATTATTAATTTCTTGGCCAAAGGGTAGTCCTGTACTACATCCGAGTACATGTAGTTTGTAGTTTCTTTCAAAGGCCGAAACTCTTCTGGACTAAAGTGACGTGTGTGGACCCATAACTGTGCAATGAAGGTTGTCGGCCTACGGGTGTATGTGGGTGTGTTGCTTTAAAGTTTTCATTGTTTGCTCTAATTAAGGCATGTTGGGCAATAAGACAGACTTGAATTTGCAGCGAGTAAATCCTGGAAATATTGATTGACTCCCTTTGGGTTAGTTCCACGAGGGCTTCCTGGTAAGAATACAAGTTCCAGGGTAATCTGCTGCATCCGAGTCAAGATGCTGCCGGCAATTCCAAAATGACATGATCGGAACCCGCTAAGACAGCAGAAATTGCGTGATCCAGGTACATGTACCGTAAAGTACCGCCAGAGCGCCCCGTCTCGCGAGAGCGCCCCCCTTGATTTTACAGCCAGAGAAAGGAAAATCGTATGCCAGAGTGCAACGAAGTTTGTATGATGTTGGAATAGTGTACTAAGGGCGCGTTTGGTTGGTACGAACTAGAACAGGATTCACCAGAACAGCGCGTTTGGTTGGGACTGCACCTGTTCTGGGTCGGCCAGAACATGTTTTCTGCTTGCTCCGGCCTCGAGGCCGGAGCAGACCGAGCAGTTTCACTTTTTCACAGTGAAACCTGGCGGGAACATCGATTTTGGTCCCAAATGATCACGTGCATACGCTTTTGGGTTGGACTCATTGTACCGTACAAAGTGACCATGGTGACCCATACACATTTTGAAGAATGCACCAAGTTTGGCACATTTTTCCACAAAAATGGTATCTTCTCGACGGCAGAGCGCAGCGACAGAGGCGAGAAGTATTTTCTCGTCACAGCGGTTTTTTCTCGTGTTTTTTTCTCACAAGTGAGCAGTCATCTGATCAATTTCTTTTTACTCGTACATCTTCACATGTTCTCTAAACCGCTGCGCATGAGCACGACTGGCCAGTCGTCTTGAGGTACCCACCCTCCCTCCCTGCTTTTTGTACTTGTCAGATTAGCCACTTGGGGTTTTACACCCGGTTTTTTCCCTCAAAAAAATAATGCGTCCGTCGGCGCGAGGGTTTTTTCCCGGCTGGCTCGGCCCAGACGAATTAATCTGACGGTCCCAAGTGGTGCTTCTGGTTTTCGGTCATTGCTCTCTCAGTTGCTGCCATTGCGTTGCTTTCACAGAATATCCATGTGCTCTGTCCCTTCTTCCGCTATTCTACAATTCCGCATCCTTCCATGTAAAAGAACGTGGTGTCACACTTCTGGCCCTCCTAACCACACTTCTGGCCCTCCTAACCGCAATACAAATGTGCTGTTGTTTGGTGTGTAGCGAGTGTGGCTTATCGCTGTGCGAGAATGTGCCCTTGATCTAGAGTACCGTTTGGTTGGCATGATCTATATGAGGCTGCTCCATGTGCACCAGCTGTTCGATCCTGTTCTAGATTGTACCAACCAAACGCACCCTAATAGGCGATTCACACGACAGGCAAATCCACGTTTGTCAAGTGCCCGCAGGAAGTGAAACGTGAGGCTGCAGTTCACACGGCCGCGGGTGGCGGCCAGAGCTCCCGCGAGTATCCGGTGAGTATACGGCGTTACTGTGGTGATTTGGAATGAGTACCCAAAAGACAAAGGCCAAACAACCAGGGTTCAAGACTACCGTACGATAGTACGACCTCACAGCCTCATAACTGTAAAAGTGCCCGCAGATGAGTGCATCCGCGGGCAAAAAGGCCATGGGCACTTTTGATTCCCGCGGGCAAATTTTGGTCACCCGCAGGAATATCTCCATGGTGACTTTCCTGTAAAAACGTGGATTTGCCTGTCGTGTGAATCGCCTATTAGGTCACACTTGGCAGGTTTTGTGTGGAGCTTGTGTCCGCTCGAAGGTACGGATTGACTGCAAAACGTGCAATATGTGTACAAGGTTCATGTCGTATGACCTACAGACAGCAGACCACCTCCACAATACGACCACGAAAGGATGAGATGGTGGTGGGGCGCTCTGGCGGTACTTTACGGTAGTATTATATCACTGGTTGTTGAACAGGGCAATGCCGCCCAGGATCAGATGACAGCTGAGCGTAGCCATATTTAGAGACAGGATATGGATTGTAATTTTGGAAATGATAGTAAGCAAGTCGTGGAGCAGACATGTCATGATCTTTCCCGTGCTGAGTTTAATATGTTGGCACCTGTCTTGGATTGGAGGAAAGCAGAACTTTTAGGCAGCACCGGAATGTAACCAAGCAGAGGAGATGCATGTAGGAGCGTTAAATCCCGCGGTACCAATTAGCCTTTGTACCTCTTGTGCATTGCGTTCTGCCCACCAAAGGCAAGGGGCAATGTAGCAGGTAAAAGGCCCACTGCCGTTCTGTATAATGCTGTACTAGTTTGAACACTACCATGTACGTCTCCAATGCGGTGAACCCTTTGATAGGCCTGGCTTTGGTTCATCCTAAGGCCACACCGTTTTTTATCTATGTTTCACGTCCCCCGCGCGCATATATTTCACAGCCGGAGTTTTAAAAAAATTTTTTTGAAAATGCAATACAAATTTAATGCAAACCCAGAAAACCGGAAAATGTAACTCAGCTCACACACACATTGTACATGACTTGTACTACAGTGCGTATCGGTTATACTACTTATAGCGTGGTCGTGTAAAAGAATATACTGCCTACAAGAATGAACTCTCATGTTTTCATAATCATAACATGGATTTCATGTGCACATTTATTCTTACAAGCAATTTTATCGTACAGTAGAATATATCGGTCCTAAGAATGGACTTTGTGTAGCGAAATATGCCAGATCAGTACAAAGTATATCGCCTGTAGTAATAACATCTGTCCAAAGCAGTTCTGATCTGACTCGCGTTGGGTCCTAGTGCTGCAGGTTCAACTATTGTGGTCATGTAACTCATGTTGCATAGCCACATGGTAAGCCTATGTGACTGTGACCAGCCGCATGCACAGCAGCACAACCTTGTAAAGTTGTATGTACGATGATCTTCCTGCCTCTGCGCAACTGCACATGATATGTCACACTTGATTTATCGTGTGTAAGAAATAGCGGAAATAAGAATAGAAAGTCGTTTTTCAAACACCCACGCTATAACCGATACCTACTGTACTTGTATGCAATAAGCTGGGCCGCAAGTCACATAATCATCATGCCGCGTGTGTTTGGACCACAAGCATGGCAGAGGGGATACACTCATGTATTCATGTACATGTCAATGTACATGAACAGTGCACCGTCGCTTCACTGTACACAAATGCAATGCACGTACACTGCTTTTTTTTTGGATGGCTTTTTTATTTTTCGCCCTCCCTCATTGATTTCATCGAATAAGGTGACACGAAACATAGAAAAAAGGCGTGGCCTAATAAAGATCGCTATTATTGTGATGTGCACTGTCTTCCCATTATGATATCAGTATACACAAATCCCTTCTTATTGGTGCATTACAGTTTCATTCTCCATACTTGTAGATTTAGGGCGCGTTTGGTTGGTACGAACTAGAACAGGATTCACCAGAACAGCGCGTTTGGTTGGGACTGCACCTGTTCTGGGTCGGCCAGAACATGTTCTGCTTGCTCCGGCCTCGAGGCCGGAGCAGACCGAGCAGTTTCACTTTTTCACAGTGAAACCTGGCGGGAACATCGATTTTGTTCCCAAATGATCACGTGCATACGCTTTTGGGTTGGACTCGTACCGTACAAAGTGACCATGGTGATATCCATACACATTTTGAAGAATGCACCAAGTTTGGCACATTTTTCCACAAAAATGTGCTCTGTTTCTGGAGTAGCGTTTGGTTGGCATGAGGCTGCTCCATGTGCACCAGCTGTTCGATCCTGTTCTAGATCGTACCAACCAAACGCACCCTTAGACACAAAGCACAGACTACTTACTGCTTGGAATTTTATTTTACCCTGCGTGTCACTCTCTTTTCCACGTATCAATCATTACGTTTCACGCCTGAAATAGCAGGTTGACGCTCTTGTTTCAGAATTATCCCAATAGACAGTTGTTCTTCGGATAGGACCTGTGAAGGTCGAAATTGGTAGCACTTCTGAAGTTGATTGATTCTTTTTTATTGTCATTTTGTAGATCGTTCGTGGTTACCATGGTAACCAAGAAGAAAAGAGTTCTTATTCTCGCTTCAAAACACTTCAGTTAGAATGCTTGGAGCAAATACATGGAGATGCCAATAGCAAAGTGGTGTAAAAGCAATACAAAATGACACAAATCCTAATTTTGTATCCGGTTGCCATGGTAATTATAGACAATTTCAATCGCAATTTTCACCACCTTTCAGAAAGTTCTGAAAATGACAAGTGGCAGGGTGATCTACACATGGCCCTCTATCATATGAGCCAAAAATATCGTGGTACACCCAAAGTGGGAACGGGAAGTCACATTTTTCCCACTTGGCTCCTGTACTACTATACATAATGTTCTCTTGTGGGATAAGCCGCCCTGGCATAGAACAGCGAGACACCAGGAATGAGCTATCGCTTGAAGCAACAACAGACGACAACATAACATAAAAACAGGAGAGTGTGGGCGCACCTCCAGATGATATAAATTACGCGACACAGTTGTGACAGAAGAGACCCGTCTCCTTGGCGATAACAGGACAAGTCGAGAGTGAAATCTTGCATTTGGTGCAGACGAAGCAGTCCTTGTGGTAAACCCTGGACTTGCAGCGCAAGCCTTGCGAACGTACGTAGTCACCGCAAGCAGCACATGCCACGGCAAACTTCTGGTCATAGCAGCCACTGCAGTACAACTTGAAGTCACGCTTGTAGAACTTCAGTCCTGTCAGCAGCAACGAGCAGTCTTGGCAGGTGAAGCACTCTGGGTGGAAGTTTTTCTTCATGGCACTTACTTGTCGTCCCTTGATGACCTTGTCGCATTTGCCACAGCGTTCTCCATACTTGTCGGAGTAGCAGTCCTGGCAGAAGACCTTTCCTTCATTCATCATGAAGTCATCGGCATCCAATGACACTTTGCAAGTGTCACACTTGAAGCACTCTTCATGCCAGTGATGTTCATCACAAGACAGTTGATGCTCTCCTGCACCAATCTTTCCCTTGCACACTTGACAACGACCAGCAAGTTGATCGTCATAGCAAGGCAGGCAGACAACCTGACCTTCATGAGTGACGTACTCTTCCTCCTCGGTTCCGAGTGGCTTGTCACAGAAGAAACAGCAGAAGTGGTGTGTGTGCCACTTAGAGCCACTGGCAAGGGTGTACTCTTGAGCAAAGATCAACTGCAAGGGACAAAACAATGCCAACAGAAGAAATAGATCAGTGGCAAAGTTCATTTGTAAGACAACTCATTTGATCATTTGCAAATTGCCAGATCTCCGAACTGAGTCATGAAAAAATATGTTGACGTACAATCATCATCTTTCTTCATACTGTATAGCATGACATTTTCGGACGGAATTTATTTTCGTACGATTTCGTACACGGCCTCTTTTGTACTAAAATTAATTCCGAACTAAAATTTGTTTATGTTAAATAATGTACACTCTACGCCTCGTGCGTGGGTACTGCAGTATTGCTTGCAAACATGTGCATTTAGCATGCAGCACTGTACGAAAATAAAATCTGTACGAAAGGTCGCAATTCGGCTTTGTCCGAAAATATTTCCATCCGAAAATTTCCTGCTATACAGTACATGCAGAAGAGCCTGGAAGATAATCACACTCGGTTTCTCTGGATTCGCTCGAGTACAGGCGCAAACTATAACTTTTGTGTGCATTAACTTCGGTTCCGTACGATAGTTGGTTTCAAAACACGGGGAAAGTGTGGCGTTTGATTATCCGCAGTGCGTGGTATGTAGCGGCATAATGTAATGAAGGCAACGAGGCGTGCATCTGGCCCATAGAAAGGAGATCACAGTTTCATACTCTTGCAGGTGGGCTAATGCCAGGACACACAGCTCTTAGCCAGTCATGCATGTGAGGTCAAATGAGATCGCCTGCACATACAGCCACGGCACTATAACATCACAAAACTAACGACGACGGTGGAGAAAGTGACAACATGCTAAGCGTCACACGATTAACTATGGTGCTTAAAACATGTGATTCGACATTCTACTTCCATCTATTATTCCCCAGGATGAACGAAACATGCACTAGTACACACACACACACACACACACACACACACACACACACACACACACACACACACACACACACACACACACACACACACTTACCTCATCACAACCACCGCAACGAGGACGGGACAGCTCGGCGTGATGACGACCGCAATACAGGTCTCCGTCGTGAGTGAAATGAGCCAAGTTGACCAAGAATTCTTTACACGTGAGACAGGTGAAGCAACCCGGATGCCAGGACTTGCCAGGCAAAAGGTCGGACTGGACGGCAAGATCGGAATCGTCAATGACCTCGTTACAGTTTGCGCAGAGCTGGAGACAACAGACATAAGCATCATCAACACAGTGATGTGGTATTCCTCACTGACGACCAACGTCAAGAAGCCAGGTGCTGCCAAAGTCAGTTTCCAGTACACAACACCATAAAAAGCACGTAAAAAGCAAGTCTACGATGCTGGACCTATTCTGGCACGAGCCAATGTCTTGCTAGTAAAACAAGGCTTGTATTCCAGCCAGATAATTCAACACAAAGCGAGCATCATCTTGAACCGGAGGCTTGCATTCTAAGTGGGGCATCATCCAACACAGCCTAATATTGCTGGTCAGAACGAACCAGTGAGTAAGAGAGGGCTAGCAGCCAGGCAATGTGTAGAATAGCGGTTAACTCTGCTCACAGGATGTCTATCAAAACTTAATTTAAAGGCCCATTGCAACAAAAGCTCACATTACTGTACTGCTTTTAAAAATGTGTACATCAATCCTGTCAAGAACACACAGGGACACTACAATTGAATGAACATACCTGCTTGGAAACTTCAATAACAGTACCCTCGCAGAATGCCTTCTCTCGCTTTTGAATGAACTCGATTCTTTCAGGCTCAGGAATGTCTACATTCATGAGCTTGGCGTCGTGAAGAGGCATCTGGTGCATCTGTCTCCGATTCCAGTCCTGTGTAGAGTCATGAGTTCCCATGGGGCGTACTTCTTCCGGCAGCTGCTCCATGAATTGCTCAACCTAGCCGGTCAACACAAGGTAACACATAATAATAACCACCAAGACCAGCCATTTGTCAATTGCCTTGTAGATTGCATCTGGAAAGGACAAGTTGACATTATTTTTAGGTGGTTTTTTAAGTTATTGATCCACCACATACGGGGACGGCTATGCAGGCGACATTCGTCACCTGTCGAGATTGACATCACAAAAGAAGCCAGGAGGACTATTAGAGCGACAGCCTTCTGCAGGCTAAACACACAACAGGCATGCTTGATTCCACACAATCTTGCCCTTTCTTGAATTCGGTATGACGTATGGACAATTCAATTCCACAAATTGTGTCGTATCTTAAAGATCCACAGAATTCAATCCCACCGATTCTGAAGTAAGCGAAGAATCTCCAGGGGCGTAGCACCCGCTACGACTGGTACGACCATGGCCGTACCACTTTTCGAAAAGTGTGGTCCGTCCGGAACGTGCAAAACCGTAATAAAAAAAATCAGGATCCATCGATGCATATACATGTATGCGCATCAGACTTTGACCTTTTTTCTAGACTCGTACTCGTAGATCTGTTATCATCTGCAGTCGTACTGAGTACTGAGTCTGTACTCGACTCGATTGCACACTGCGCCAGAAGTTCCCAGAACGCAGGATTTTGTGTCCTTTTTACAAAATTTTCGGCCGCACCGACCTTCGGCCGCACCGACCTTCGGTCGTACCACTTCCAAAACTCCTCCTACGCCCCTGATCTCTAGATCTCCTGCCAGATTATCAGTCCAGTCCCCCAAAAAATAGTCACGCTGGCTTTTGAAAGCCCAATTGTGGCCGAATTAGGGCTAAAACTAGGGCTGAGTCGGGTAGCATTTTCTTCGGGTATCGGGTCCGGGTAGTTTTCCACGGGTAGCACGGGTACCCGAGCGGGTAATGTTTCCATGGTAAGACCACAATGCACACCGGCCCCTTCCCTTGCGCATTGGGTAGACATGTGTGAATTATTTGTACACGTGCCCTGTACATGATGTCATCTGCGACCTCGGGTTTTCGGGTACTATTCGGTACCTGACTACCCGTGCACACCACTAGCTAAAACCCATTGAGAAAATCTGGGTTTTGGACCTTCTTTTCCATACAATCATTTTGAAACGGGTTACCTGTCCTAATTCCCAGACAAGTAATGAAGATGGGACGCTTGAGAGAAAACGTGGTGATCTGGCGGGATTTTACGGCGCTGATATACAACATGTTCTATAGAGCAAATCACAATGCAGTCAGGCCCACCTACCACCCTACTAAAGTAGAGAGCTCACATACCTTTTCATCGGTTTCCAGTCCCTTTGGAGCCCATACATATTTGAACGTAGCTTCTTCCACCGTTGATTGCGAGGCAAATTGCTCCGAGGTACCGGATGAAAGGACAAATGATCTTTGTTCAGGAGAATCAGATGAAAGGACTCCAGACCTGTGATCTGGCGATTCGGACTGCGGAACGGCATCGGATAGGTTACCACTGATCTTGAGCTTCTTGATGCGATCGCGAGTTGTCATGGCACCCACAAGGTCTTCTTCAACCCTCATAAGCGAGGCACTCTTTGAAACCTCGGCACCACCATCTGTGTTGCCACCTGAAACCTCGGCACCCTCGTGGTGCTCAGTGGGGCAAAAGCACACGCTACATACTTTCCTGAAATGTATAAAGAGTCAATACACATGCACACACACAGACATGTGATTACTTTTGAGTAGTTTGAATTGAAAATCTCGCAGACAAGCCGCCGAACAGTCAAGGTACACCTTATGGAGATCAAACCCAGGACATTTTGTTTACCGGTGAACTGCTCTAGTAGGTGGGTCACCTGATTTTACAGCTCAAATCGGTTTGGTGTCGCACTTGCTACATACCCACATCTCACCCGTTTGCATTCCACACGCACATTCACCACTATTCTTGGATTCGCTGTGATAATTTTTTTATCTTCTGTTCTGTTCCTTGCTACTTCAGTAATTGTGTGACCATGATATGTGAGTTCTAAAACATTCACCTGGCTGTATTTGCATTAATTTTAGATTTCGTGTTTTGCATGTTTTGGCAGTGTCAATATTGACACTGCTAAAAATAAGTCATATATAGAGGTTATGCGATAACGTCAAATCTGCCATATATAGGAGCCAGTTGGGGTGGCAAAATACCCAAAGCGGGTACAGAAACCCCCTATATAGAAGAATTTGGGGTGACAAACGTATTATATGACGTGCATCGCATAACCTCTTCACCAGACAGATATATTATGTACAAATTGGGCTTGCATGCTTTTTTCACGGACAACATACAACTTGTTCATAATTACAAAGCATGTTCCATATAGGCATTCATCCATATTGGAATTCAGGCCCACCCTCATTATTACACATATACACATTTAATAACAGAATTTCAGCATGCAACACTTCCAAATTAGGAAGTCCCAACGCTCTCGGGGCTAGTAATGGCCCAAATTTGACCTGCCCACATCAATATTTTGCCGCACAATGTTGCTGCAAAATTTTGGACATTCTGCTTGGCATTCCCTTTCCCTGTCGGTATTTTGCTTCCATTTACTGATTTAGTTCGAGATAAAATGAGTTTCAAGGAAAACTCACAATAACTGTCGTTGATGACGGAATTTTTGATTGGGCTCCTGCTGCTGCTCAACTTTCTAAAAAAATATAGCCAGGAGTTCGTTTTATCCAATTTTTATGCTCGTTTTCAACCTTGGTGACTGATTGTATTGGGAAAGTCCCTTAGAAGCCTTGGATTTTCCAAAAAGCCCACCAAAACTAGATATTTTGCTCAAAACTTGCCGGCAACTTTGCGCATCCGATATTTTGCTCAAAGAATTGCTAGCAAATTTGGCCTATGACTACTCGGGGCCCCTAGCATTTTGGCAGCCTACTTGTATCAATGTATATTTTAGTGCCACGCTCGCTTGCATAAATTCTGTCGTGTTTTTACATTTCTCTTCACTCTGATGAGCTGCCTTTAAAATAGACAGCGAAACCGGTCAGTCCTTTAAAACAGATTTGTAAAATCAAAATATGTGTTCTGTGAAACTACTTGTGTCGGGGATGTTTCCCTATTCAAATCTTTAGCTGTATCTGTGCCTTGATCCTTGAGGGTGGTGGCGTTCCTACGGATGCGGAAAACTCAGTCTGGCTGGGTTTCACGCGAATCGTGAATAGTTTTGCCTCCCCTACCTTATCAATGCCTCGACGATGCCAAAGAAGGGAGAAATGCACTCAAACGTCTCTTATCCAGATTCCTCGGATACGGGCATGTCTCTCTACCGGCCACATTCAGCTTGTGTTGCTAAGGCAAAATGGCTTCGATTTCGGGTTTTCCCCTCAATTGTGCATGTACAAATGCATACCGTAATGTCGCGTATAAAGGCAGGTGCTTCCGGCCGTATAAGCCGGGGTTCAAACCTTGCTTCTACGTCAACATTATCAGTCTGCACTGTGCAGTGCATACTGCCACGCATGTACGTGCACATGTACTTTGAAAGGAGCGGCTTCTATTCAAACCCTGCTTCTGTGTCAGGATGGAGCTTCGAAAAATCGGCTTCTATTCGAGTTATGCTTCTATACAGGTCATGCTTTTATACACGACAGTACAGTAATTAAAAAAACAAATTTGTCATTGCTAACCGGTATAATTCACACATTTTCACAATTGTACCTTCCCCTCTTTGTATTTATCACTGATATCCATGAACCTTCCAAGTTGGAAGGCCGTTGGTTAGCGCATCGAGCAGTGCTCAAGCTCACTTCCTTGCCATGGAATGTCTCAGTACTCCTTGTAAGTCTGGTGCTACCTTGCGCACATCTGACTGTTCAAACCTGGTTTAGTCGGAGGACTCTAACGCATCAATTGTGCCCGTTTTCCTTGTTTCAATTTTCTTCTCCCTGCCTTGCCGTGGTTGGCTAACACCCTCTCTCTTTGTATTGGCCGGTGTTCTCACTGCGCTATGAGATGCTGTAATAAATAAAATAAATAATATATTTAATATTTTCCTTGGCTCACCATCCGAGTATTTTTACCATTGGATTCCTTTTTAAATATCCTGTACCAGGATTCTAACCAGGAATATATGGGGGTGGGGGAGGAGATAGAGAGACAAGCAATGAAACTATATTTCCATGTTCCAATATTGCCTTGTCAAACAAAAATAATGAATGCAATGTACGGGCGCTGTGAGTTTTTGCCATCAGCAGACCCCATAGGAAGGGTATTGTCCAAAAGCATGGAGACAAATGTCTATATTTTTGCATTCTCGTAAAATATAAGAACACATTAAATGCTGGGGAACACATAGACATAGACCGTACCTCCACAAATGGGGCTTGTACCCATCTGAGCATTTGCGACACGAGTTACAATTAGCACCAGGTGCAACAGCGATGACTGGTTGTTGGATTCCATACTGCAGGTCACAGTAACAAACACAAGATCATAGCAATTGGTCTCATGTATCCTGATTTATCGAGGAAAGAAGAAAAACAAGAAATGCATTACAACACAGACATATCTCACATAATTATGTGTAGGGGCCAGTTGAAATATCAGGCTAACTGTCTCTACTCTGACGTTTCATGCCAAATGAAATCACCAGAAGCCACAGTGCTGACAAGATGGACATAAGGCAAGACCAGAAATCGAGATTCCTGGGCCGACATGCAACAACATCGAGCCGGGGTCGATTTTTCCTGAACAGTACATGTACTGATAGTTTGAGTACAACCAAGAGTACAAATGTACATCGGTGTAAAAAAATGGCATGTACTTGTCATGTGCTAGAACCTGTATATGGGTTTTTTTCGTATGCTATTCTTCCTGCTGCAATCTATTTCATGATGAAACAGTTGACAGATGCGTGGAACCCATTATTGTGGAGACATGCGACCTGTATTATTATTATCATTAAGAGTACATAAACAAGAGTGTGTAGCTTCGATTAGTATGGCCCACAGCGAATTCTTTGCTGGCACCAACTTTTCTGGATATCATGAGCCATACCATATGGGGCATCTACTACGAGTCGGTGGCAGCGTGAACTTGGTCGGGTTTCACTAAACCTGCACTATGACTACGATAAAAGCTACATCGGAGAAAAAAGTTACAATTTTCATTTTGAAAGCGGCAAAAACACAAACTCGCGATGAAGGTTGGCTATGGCTGTATGAAGATCAGTTTCTTTTGCACGCTTGAGGTTGTATACAACCATTGTGAAGTGGGGTCAAACTTCACTTGCTATAACCACAGCGAGTGTACAATTCCAGGTCATGGGGTCTACGACGGCAGAACTTCACATCACGTGGCATGGTTTAATAGGTTAAGCTGTCCAACAGTGGAAAGTGACCACCAGAGAGTTGAACCCAAAACAGGGTCACACAAGACCATGTCTCTATCATCAAGACTAGAGTACATGACCCCCCAAGAGTGTGCCACTCGACTGTGGGTGATGTCCCGGCAGAATTTCAAGTTGACGTCATTTTTATGATGCAATGCGCACTGTACACGGATTGCAAGACGAATCCGGAGCCTGTGGTGGACCAAAGCCCATCTGATCCTGTACAAATTATTGCAAAGAAAAACGTGTGATGCGTTGACACCCGTACACATAGTGTAAATCACTGGTGCAAGGAGCATTGCATCATAAATAATGACGTATGGGTATGTGGGAGTTGCACACGCTTGGGGGTTATGTACTCTTGCTATCATGCACAGGATACAAATAATGTGTACGGGTTCGTCACGTGGCGTGAGTTCTGCCGTCGCAGACCTCGTAGCTGCAGTGGCACGCTTTGGGGGGGGGGGGGGGGGGGGGTCATGTACTGTTGATGTTAGATACAGGGTTGTACGCAACCCTGCTTTGGGTTCAACTGTCTGGTGGTCACTACGACTGTTTGTTGCATTTTTTTTATTGATGATCGTTCAACCGAACAGTTTGCCAGCATAACCTATTTAATTGAGCCATGTCACGCGATGTGAAATTCTGCCCCCGCTGCAGCACTGGATAGAGATTGGACAGGCAGTTGCACACTCTTAAGGCCGATTCATACTTCATTTCGCGTACAGGAAATGCGTCGCGCCGCGAAAAAGTTGATCTGCGCTCAACTATTTCGCGTACGGGAAAGTCGCGCGACGGTCGCGCGATAGCTTTCCCGTACGCGAGATGAAGTATGAATCGGCTTACGTACTCTTGATAATAGAGAGGTTCCGCATAACGTAATTACGTTAGTAAAAAACGTAGTCGATCTACGGAAAGTCTTACGTAAACTGCATGCGGATCTGGGTTCCGCCATACGGAGTTTTCAAATCACGTAGCTGCCCTTGGCAACTCCGAACGCGGCAGTGTACGACCAGATCGACCTGGGGAGAGAGTCATAAATTTGTACCCCAATCCACTTACGGACCAACTACGTTATCAGAGCCCTATCTACGTACTCTCCGTAGACAACTTTCCGTAAGTGGAGTGCAAACTCGCGAATTCACGGGTTTTTCCCGCCCACTAACGTAAAGTTGCTCAACTTTACGTAGTGCGGAACCTCTCTATTAGCTACAGGGTTGTACGCAACTCTGCTTTGGGCACAACTCTCCGGTGGTCACTTCGCCCTGTTGTCAGTGTAACCTTTTGAACCATGTCACAGTTTTAGGGGCCGTCCGGGGTCACCGTTTTTTCCGCAAACATTTTTAGTATCTTTCAGACCCACCCACCCACCCTTTCTGTAGCACTATTCAATCACTAATTTCTCAAGTTCCTTACTACATGTACCAAGAGTACAATCATAACCGTAGCAGTCTCTAACTCTAGCTATGTGGTCTGCGACTGCAGAACTTCACATCACCTGAGAAATCTCGTACAAATTATTTGCACCCTATCCATGATAGATGCAGGGGTACTTTGCACTGTTTGCCATCGTACCTTTTGAACCATGTAAAGTGATGTGAAGTTCTGCCGTCGCAGCACTGTATTAGTGCATAGAGGTTGTACATTGTGTTGGCGCAGTTGCCCACTCTTGGTGTTATGTACTATTGGTATTACATAATAAGTTCCTATTTTACGGGAAATCGCATGCCAAATCTGTACGGTGGACGATGCATAGTTCAAATTTCTGTGAAAATAGTTCAAAATATGGACAAATATGGGTGGTTGGAAACACTGTCACGTGACAGGATTGCACATCATCAGCTATTATTATACACAGTATTCCAAAATACAGGATACTTGTGGGGTGTTCGAATTGCCCTCATCAACTCTTCGAGAAACATCGTGAGACGACGAGTTGAAGGTTCCCAGTGAAACAATTGCAATCAGTCTCCATCTTCGATCGAATCGTCACAATGCGATCTTATAAGCGTACCACACAAGACAATGGGCTTACGATGTTTGTACCCTTTCTCTTAGTTTCTACTGCAAAAAAGTGTAAATGCATACGAATGGCAGTTGTCATGTGAATAGTTCAATACTCTTCGGAAATGAGCAACCTCTAATCTTGGGAGAGATTGCGGAGTTTCGAGGAGACTTTCGTTTTCTGAAGAGCCCAACAAACCACCTCTTCGCAAAAACGAAACTCCTCGAAAGTCAAACAATGAAAATTCGAATCTCTCAAGCCTAATTTCTGGATATTCCATGCAGGCACGCCACATGTTGGGTACCAGTAATTCTGCCGGTAAAGACCTTTTTCTCCAGAATGGGCGTCTTCCTCGGGGGTTGTGTACTCTGAAGTCACTGACATGACAGGTAGAAGCTGCCACGAGCGTCAAAAGAATTCCGGAAAAATTAAATCGCACTATGGTCATTCGTACTGCAAATGTGTATCGCGCAATTCGTACGACAACTGAAAGAATGCACATGTGCATGGGCGAAGGAACAACCGAAGAACAAGGGCCAAGGCCAAAGGCTTGCAGCAAACAAGAAGCTACGTTAGCAAGGCCATGAACTAGAGGCGGTCGACCTACACAAGGCCCGCTATGCCCGGCGGCTCATCATCAACAGATGATGGACAACCACTTATTTATTATATAAGTTATAATACCCTGGGTAGTCAGACAACATACACTGGTAGAACAGATGGAAACCTTCCTTACCCGTTTGTTGACTGTCGTCAAGGAAGTTTGCTTGTTTATCCTGAACCGCAAAAGCACAGGGGAAGGGTCTCATAAGTTTCGTCTTCTCTCTTACAAGTAGACCCGAATCAGATTGTGGTAGTAAACTGATGCTCCACTCACCTCGTCTCCTTCTTGTTCTGAAGTGGCTTCACGCAGGCAGACGCATTGCTCCGTATCATGGTTCGTGTCTGGTGTCCACAGAACACCTTTCCTAGAAACAGAACTACAAATACCTCCGAGCCGGAGAACTGGAGAAAATCTCCCAAACCTGAAACTAAAAAAAGCTGGTTGCGGTTCCTTCCCAATAGTAATACTCTCGAGCTCTGTTCTTCCTGCAACTGCAGTTCCTGGGCTGCTAGCTGAGCGCTATGATACGAAAGCCCTTGAACCCATTTTGACGAGTTGCAATAGACCCTTTGCACAATAACGGTCACGTGATCCGAGACGGGGCATCCTCTTCGATTTTTGTGCAGAGTATCAGTTGTTGAGCATGGTGGAACACTGTATTTTTCCATTTTGGAGATGGAGGAGAGAGTGTCGAGTGGTTTGCCATCGATGGCTGTGGAACCCGTGGACGAACTGTCAAATGAAGATCGGTTGTGTAAGGAACTGAACAGTTTTCTGCTGAATGAGGGTGCGTATCTGTCTGGAAAAAGAAGGAGTTGTTGGAGCGGTAAGTTTTCCGCATTCAGTGGATATTTCGGATTACTGTAGATTGAAATTTATTTTTATTTTCTCTACCTTCTCTCCTCTGTCGATGTAGAGAACACTTCTCTATGCAGAACCCTGATGCTCCTAGAACTAAGAAGGGCACCACTTCCTCGAGTGTACCTTCATCATGCCCAACATTTCATGCGTCCCAGTGGATGAGTGATGAACCTCTGTTTCCCAGAGTGAGTGCCACACCATGCTTGCTCGTCTCCAACGCAGGGGCAAGTCGCCGACGACAGTGAAGAGGGAGCTGATGGAGTAGTACTAGTGAACAAGCCCGTGGATAGTGTCCATGAGTTTTACTTTGGTGGCTATGTGCATAATGTGAAAGTCTGTCATATCGTGCGCACAGCCACAGCTCGAACTCAGATGACTTTCTCCGCACACCTGAGCGATGAGGCCGCGTCTCTCTCCACTTCAACAACAGCAGCTCGAGCAGCGCCAGCAAGCAGTCGATCTTCCAATAGCGAAGACAGGGATGGGTCATGCCTTTTTCTCAAGCTCCAGAGTCTCTTGGCAGGGCGTTCCATATCTTCGCAAAAGCAAGGATGAAAGTCGTCATGGACAAAGTGTTCCGAGCACAACACTGTAAACGATATCGCAGCACTGCGGCCCTCAGTACCCGGCCCTCTTCTCGCCAGATAGCCAGGATTCCAGAGTGTGGAATGCCAGCATCACCAGGGAACGCATGGAAAGACAAGTGGGTTCCTTAGACTAACGTTAGGGATGACGGTTGCTGCAAACAAGAACCCAACAGTGGTCCTTGGAAAGCATTTCGGGACTTCTTCCTTCAGAACTAGAAAAACTTGAAAATGAAAAAGGCTGGGGAGTACATACATGAACATCGCGTCGGGACCGTGAAAACACAGCCTGTCACAGGAAACTTGATCACGTCCTGCAGCAAAACCATGCATGCTGGTTGCATGCCAAGTGTGCAGCGCGTGCACAGCATGCCCCGTCTCGACCCCTCTCGCTTATTGCGCAAAGGGTCTATTCTTGGCGTTGTTCAAGGATCTAGGACCCCTTCGCTTTCGGATATGGTCAAACCGACTGAGATGATGACGCGATTTTCGGGATCCCGTAGCTTCTACGGATACGAGTACCGTACCGGTATACCCTGCGAAACGGTTACGTAGCTTACACTACCGGTGAGTCGTCAAATCATGTAAATATATCGTGCAGTAATTATTTGACGACTCCCTAGCGCTCAGTGACCATGCATGGTGACTAGTGCAGCTACAGAAAGTAGCATGCTACACATACATGTACAACTTTACAAGCGTGTGTGTTACCATGGTTACATCAGTGATCATCGATCGGCCGGATATGGATATGGATGCCCAGCTTAGCAGCTAGCTTGAGCTTGGTACTACAATTGTAAGGTAGATTACATTGTAATAATTACTTGCAGTATCAAGAGTCCATAAACTGTTTATGGACTCTTGATAGTATATAGGGAGTCACTCTACTACTCCTTGCTTTCCAAGTGTAGATCCACACACACACACGAGGTGGTTTGCAGAGATTGGGAGTAGTGACGACTCCCTGCTTGTAGATCTACTGCTCTGCCTGGTTTCGAGGGAAAGATGCAAAAGGAAAATTCTGAAGAAAAAAAATGGCTTTAACCACTGAGCTATGGTGTAGCCGCTGTCATCCCAGCAGAGACCGTTCAGTACGAAATATGGATATTTGGATACTGGTATTCGAACAAGCGTTTTGGACAGCAGCTTTAAAATACAGCCACGAGGAGGATTAATTAGCTGTAAGCATTTCCCATTTGTTGACATGCATAAGTGCAATGTAAAAAGTAAAAGCAATGATTATAGGGCACACAACGAGAAAGAACGAAAGGATTAATTAATTTATACAAAAGAGAACGGACCAAGGAACTACAAGTTACGCTAACGATTAATATTTATTTTATACCGGCACGTTCGGGCTCTCCACCTTCTCCATGATATAAAAGGAAAAAAATGCGCGTGTTCGAGCTCTCCGCCTTCTCCGTGAAATAAACGGACAACCAACAGCATAAATTTAATTATAGGTCCACACTAAAGACTACAAATGAATTGAAGTACCAACTTCGGCAGCAACTAGTAAAATTCCGTAAATAAGCCCACCCTAAATAACGCCCATGTCCGATAATAAGCCCAGTTTTAGGCGGTGTACACTTCAAGTCCGTTTTAGCGCCCATGCCCGAAAAAAGCCCAGGGCGTAAAGTGGACTCAAAATGGCCAGCTCGTGAGTGTGCGTTCGCGTACAAACTCAGGGTAGCCATGCCGGTACATGTACCTGTTGTGCCTTGTACTTACCATAGCAAGTGGTTCACCTATCAAATCTGTAATTTATCGCTACATTCTTGGTTACGACCAAATTTCCAGCTGTGGTTTGATGTACATGTACCTGTACCGCGCTCTGTGTGAATGGTGGTTTACTGAAAATAGTGGGTTGCTGATAGATTGATCTTCTGTAGATTGCGTCCGAAATAACGCCCATGCCCTAAAATAATCCCATGCCCAAATATACGCCCGGTTTGTGACGCTCTGCAAAGTATACGCCCGGGGCTTATTATTATTAATTTTTTTGAATAGGGCAATCCCCACAGTAACGGAATTTTACGGTATAGTAAGGAGGCAGAAGAAGAGACAGGTGCATGCACAGTGAAAACAGAGCGGCTACCACGCAGGCACATGACATTTTCTATGAGCAAAGCGAAGCTTAGGCCGCAGCGGATGAATGCCGTAACAACCGGTTCGCTGCTTTTCTCAGCAATGAGTGATGCAATACCGTTATATCAAGAGTACATAACCCCCCAGAGTGTGCAACGCCTGATCCAGCTCTGCATAGGGTCTTGGTCGAGCGGAATCGGATCTTTGCGTCATAATACCGTACACATCTGAGGGGAACCCGGGGAGTCGCGGGTGCTCTTGGATCAAAAACAATGGTACCCTGCCTCGAGACCGGCCTTGCGCTGGTATGAAGTGTACGCATGACATCAGAAGATCCGATTCCGCTCGACCAAGACCCTATGCAGAGCTGGATCGGCGTTGCACATTCTGGGGGGTTATGTACTCTTGGTTATACGCTGTGAAGCGAGGCAGATTGCTTGTCCATGCCGCCGGTTGTTGAGAAGACCAATGGGACAAATGAAGCATCCTCGATTTCCCGCAGTCTCTCTTCGTACAATCTCTTCTTCGCTTTCTCGTGGCGAACGTAGGTGACAGAAATGGAGGAGGACTGGTTCAAAGACGCAAACGAGTTGAAAACCCGGACTGTGACGTCGATGAAGGTGCGTTCGAACCGCCCTCCCCACCATGACTCCATTTGCTGCTACATTCAAGCGAGCCTGGTCGTCGCGGATGGCGGTGCCGCAGAGTAGTAGCGAAGCTGCTCCCCGCTCAGGGGGCCCGAGATGGGGTTCCACACGTACACAGAGACATTTGTGGCAACTTGCTTCAATAAGCCAGCGGTCACATTACGGATCTCATTGTGCCTGATGGTAGGGTAACCGCCGGTGGGGCATGACAGGGCGTGGGCCACTGTAAACTGGCTGGCTTCCACGAAAGGATAAGTAGCTGCTGAAACTTTCCCCTGCTGCTGTATATATGTAGTATAGCGGTAATCACCTTGTTTCTCTCCCTTTTCACCTTATTTCACTTTCATTTGTCCATGAAAGATTTGTTTCAAGTAGTCCCCATTCCATTGTTAATGTTACGTAGATTCACTGATGACCGTACTTGACAACAAGAAAACAGTTCTGAACTACCGGTAATCCTTTCGTTCTTTCTCTTTGTGTGCCCTGTAATCATCGTTTTTACATGGTCATTATACTCACGCGTGTCGACAAAATAGGAAATGCTTACACTACAGCTAGTCCTTTTTTGGATATTCAGCCATCAAGAGCAATGATTATGACTGTAATCCCCGGTATTTTACGACTCCCGAGTCCCGATCCCGACCGGTCCCTGGGCCATGGGGCCTACATACGTTACATAGGCTACAAGTTAAGTACAAGCAGGGAGTCGTATACGACTCCCTGCTACAAGTACAACGAGTTACGTTACAAGCAGGAAGTCGTAAAATACCGATATTTTACGATTAGATTCCCTGGTTACAAGTACGGCCGGAGTCACAGTGGTACACGTGCGTGCCTGTTCGAAACCGCGCCAAATACAAAACTGAGAGTGACTCGAAACTGAGCTGAGCTATTTGAACAAGAGTCGACTGCAAACTCAGCCCGAAGGACGGTCCAACGCTAACTGGAAAGGAGTTGGTCCCTGATCTTGAGTGAGTGTCTCTATCAGTGTATCACTTGGATTGATAAATATGTAAGGTGTTTGCTTTGTCAGAAGCGATACCAAAATGGCATCCAGCTACGATGAAATGAGTCCGAAGGACTTGCTTGCAGTTTATTACGGCCGGTTGTTTCCATATACACCATTCTACCGCTGGCTTTCCTATGGTGGACTGAGGAAGAATTACCTGGCAAATAGAGAGTTTTCATTTACATTGGATGGAGATATCTACATCCGCTACTTGTCTTTCTCTGAGCAGTCTGATTTTGAGAAAGAACTGCAGCAGAAAAACCCCTGTAAGATCGACATCGGAGCAGTATTTTCTCACAAGCCCAGAGACCACAAGGCTGTCCAGGCATCAGCATTTCGTGCGGAGGAGAAGGAGCTGGTGTTTGATATTGACATGACCGACTACGACGACGTGAGAAACTGCTGCAGTGGAGCGGCAATCTGCGAGAAGTGCTGGCCACTGATGACTGTAGCCATTCACATCCTACACCGAGCTCTGACCGTGGATTTTGGATACAAGCACTTGCTGTTTGTGTACAGTGGCCGTAGAGGTGTACATTGCTGGGTGTGCGATGAGGCGGCACGGCAGCTGAGCGCGTCAGGCCGCAGTGCCATCGCCGAGTACTTGAGCGTCATCAAGGGCGGCGAGTGTCAAACAAAGAAAGTTCAACTTCGTGGGTCATCCATGCACTCTTCACTGCAGCATGCCAGTCAGGTGATCAAGAAATACTTCCCCACGCTGGCCCTTGAGAATCAGGACATACTCGGCACGCCAGAGCGTTATGAGAAAGTCTTATCGCTCATCCCCAGCGAAGACGTACGGAAATTCCTCCGTGAGAAATGGAGCCACAAGTCTGCTGCGACTTCCTTTGATCGTTGGAGTGAGCTGGAAAGCGCTGTTGCTAACCAGAGCTCCAAAGACATGACACACTGCATTGAGGAAATCCAGTTCCAGTACACCTATCCTCGACTGGATGTGAACGTCAGCAAAGGTGTCAACCATTTACTGAAGAGCCCTTTCTCTGTGCATCCGAAAACAGGCAGGGTTTGTGTGCCAATCAGCTATGCTGCCGTTGATAGCTTTGATCCATTCACGGTTCCCACGGTCAATGAGCTATGCCGTCAACTGGATGAATGCGTTGCAAAGGAGGCCGAGGCAGACAGTGAGCAGGATGCTGTCGAGCCTGGGCGAAAGCGGAAACGAATGCCTGAATGGGCGAAAACGGAACTGGAGCAGGCAGTCTCGATCTTTAGCGACTTTGTGAAGAAGATGGAATTGGAATGGCATGCAGCGAAGCAGGAGTCCAGGGACATGGATATGTCATGGTAGGTTCAACAACTATCTCAGACATCATTCTAGATTTGGTCACTTCTCACACACATACATACACGCACGCGCGCTCACACCTCAGACATGCACGTGCGCGCACACATGCACGCACACGCACACTTAACCTTTCTTAGACACAAGACCCTGTCATAAAACTCATGATACAAATTAACAATACTGTCCTATCAGCACGTTCTGCTGTGCTCTGCTCTCTTGGACGCACAAAATTCTCTTTTCTTCTTTCTTTTTTTTACAGTTGAGGCTGCGTGTACAGATCTTCTTTGTCATGACTCTCGTGACAACGCTGCATCAGTGCTCTGCTGCATCGCATGTACTTCAATTTCCAGAAACACTTTGTCTCTCATGTGCCTCCCGTGTGATAATGCTGCACGTAAAAGTCCAATCCGTCAACTTTGCGAATAGTGACCCCCCCCCCGAGAGAGAGAGAGAGAGAGAGAGAGAGAGAGAGAGAGAGAGAGAGAGAGAGAATCAATAGTTTCCCGAGCATGCATAATGCAGCAGCCAGCCCTGACTAGCCATGCACTGTTTTTTTCTTTTCTCTCTTTCTCACATGTACGTGTACAAGTTCTACACCAGCATAGAATAATTATGGACAATCCACCAACATAAGTAGCACAGTTCACAAGAGACAGAAGTGGAAAGGTTTGCATTGCTGCTAAGTACGCGAGCTGTTCAATCATCAGTTGGACTAAGTAAGAGCAATTGGCTTTACATCGGTGGGCCACTGCCATGCCCTGATACCCCCAGTGAAAGATGTATACCTCTCAAATCAGTCGGGGGGGGGGGGGGGGGGGAGTAGCTTCCTCGGCCCACGGCCTGGAAAGGCCCGATCACCCCATGTAACACATCCTTGTCACCCCCACACCAGGCAGGTGAGTACTTCGAGGTAGATCTACTCAGTTGGCATTGGGTATCAGTGCAGCTCATCAGACGTGCACGTGAAGAACGCGGTACCCATGAACATACATGGTGTCACAGTGCACTAGTGGTTTTGCGTGATTACGTGGCCGCACACATAATCACATATTTGGCCTCTCTCCGCCTAATCTGCAAAGCTCTAGACTACTACTGTAGGCACTTCACCCCATTTTTTGAAATCGCGTTTTTTCCAGGTTTATCATCGGTAATCGATGGTGGTGGGTATCACAAGGTCACACAGAAAATTTTATTGAAATCCACAGTGATACCACTCAGATATGAAGGGTTGAAGATAGGCAGTTGCATAAGGCGAAATCAATACAATTCGTGGCACCAACAGCATCTCCGAAGTATCATCAGTGGATATAGTCACAAAACATCAGAGTGTTTTTTTCAAGCACACATCACTCACTTACACCAACAACCCTGTATGGATCGAAACAATACAGATCAAAGTTCAGAATAGGCAAGAATACGGCAATTGTGACCGCAATCACTATAGCAACACCATAGCAACCCATAGCAACGCCATAGTAACCCATAGTAACAGCTTCAGTTTGCTGTGAAATGAACTGATAACGACATACTGGCAGGCTCCTGCGGGTACTAAAGGGTAAGAGCTATAAAGACATTTTTCTGGCACAAAAACAACAGAGAACTTCCTCGTTGTACGCCGTACACCGCAACGTGGAGGGTAAGTACGCGCGCGCGTGCGCGCGCGAATTACTGCACAGGACATTCGTGCCCACAGTCATGCCATCTCAAGTGATTCCAAGTTGGCAAGAAGTTCCTCAGGACCTCTGTTGGTAGCTTCTTTCCCTGGTGTGATATCTGCCTCCCTCTCCTTCAACTGCTCCATGCAGCAGTCATGAATTGCCTGCTGGTGAGCTTTGAAATTTTGGTGAAGCGTGCCTGGCTGCGTATATCAAAGCATCCGCTCATCAGAGGGTTTCTCCAGCAGCCACTGTGCCTTTTGATTGTTCGTAAACATCAGTAGGCCTTTCAGCGCAACCGTGTCAAAACTTGGCTTTCAGTACGCTTTGAGAATTCCGGCCCAGGTAGGACGACGCATCGTCGTTCTCCTCCGCCTAAAGCGCATACTTCTCAGTGCCTGCGTACATAATGTCTCCTTGCGCAGCGATGCGCAAGCCCTGGCAAACAAGAACTCTACTGTTTCCGAATGGAAAGACGACGCTGAAGACGATAAGCAGCGTTTCAAACGCGAGCAAACAACAGTTCTTTGTGAAAAAACTCTTTGCTGGTAGTGTACGTGATTTACAACTCGCAAAAATGTACGCACTATGACGTATGCGGGATCTACTGAAAGCTGAACGTCAGAGCAACACGATGCGCCCAACTATCAGCCCGTACAACGAAGCATAGCGCGTACCTGTACAGTTTTGCGCATGCACTTGACTGGTGCCACGCAAGTAGGCACCGGGCAAATATGCTCGAAAAATCACCCATCATGCTTTCTCGCAATTCTTACAATACAGCCGATAATGCGTGAAATCAAGCCGATAATTCCCGGAAATGCTCATAAAATTTGAGCTTGAAATTTAATTATTTGATGGAAATCAAGAATATGCAGGCAAATACGCTACAACTCTATAATCTAAAAAAATTACGTCTAAAATCTATAATTTTACGTCTAAAAATTAGTAAAAAGAAGAAAAAAATATATTTTTTAAAAGAATTTCCTCGTCCCGCCGATTATTCCCGCGAAATCACCGATAATGCTGATGTGGTTTTTGCACCCTAAAATGCTTGATTTAGTGCCGGCATATTTGCCGGGTCCCTACACGCAAGTACGCCACGGGTGTTTGCAGTGCATGAACTCTTTTTTTTTTTTTTTTTTTTTTTTTCGGTGTTCCGAAGTTTTTTTTTTTTTTTTTTGATCTGAAATGTAGTCTTTGGCACCTATGATCAGGGGATGGCCCACGCCTGGTAAAAAACAAAAAAAAAACAATGAGAAGTTGCGTACAAATCGTGTACAGAAACAGACTTTGGATTCGAACATAACAGAGTGGAAAACCGGAATCCGAGAAAACGATAACATGCAAAATCATGAAAAAGTGGGGGGGGGGGGGGTACTGAAGCAGAACAGTAGCCAAACACACCACGGATAGTTACCGAAAGCACTCTGCAGCAGCAAGGACCACAGAAGCATCAGAGTCAATGACTCTCTGGCGGGCATCTTGAGACCGTGGCCTGCGGTGACCACGGAGGCTGGCATTGGAGGCACGAACAAGAGAAAAGGAAACCCTTGACCTAATAAAGGCAAGAAGTGAGGAGAAGGGCTCCTTTCTCTTGTCGGCGAGCATAGAGGCGACACGCTTGAAAAAAGCGGAGGCGGACTTGCCGTAGCCGCCGGAAGCGCTGAACACAATGGGAGAAAAAGACGCGTGTTCAACTTCCCGGACGCGTTCTTCGTACGCGCGCCTTTTCTCGGCCTCATGCTTCCGGTAGGTGGCTGTGATGGACTGTTGGCGGTTGGAGCGGGCGTGCGGGTTGAATACCCGGATGTCCAGTAGTGCCCGTTCGAAACGTCCACCCCAGACACCCGATGCGGCCACATCCAGGCGGGCACCATCCTCGGAGATGGCGGAGCGGTGACGGAAGGTCTCACCGGTTAGCGGCTGGAGATGTGGCTCGACCTGGACATCATGGGCCACTTCACGCAGGAGAGATGCGGTGAGATCCCGAAGGTCATTATGCCGCATGGCGGGGTAGCCACCAGTTGGGCAAGACAGCGCGTGTTCCGGTGAAAACGCTTTGCCGCACACACATTCTGTTGGCAGGCCTGGAGGGGTCCAACCATACCGTAGGCAGAGAGCGTCCCAGAACGCCTGCTTGTGTAGGTTGAAACCATACTGACGAAGGGGCCGACAGGTCAACCAGCTGGAGGCGCCCTTTTCAGCAGCAAGATTCAGGGTGCGCTCTGTGGTGCTGGTGGAGGTGGCAATGACCGAGGCAACCGCTTCCTTCGCCAGGCGCCGGGACTGGGACATGAACTCTGGCCAGTCGTCCCCGTACGCAAAATGCGTACGCATTCGGATCTACCGTACATTTCCTCGTGTTTTGGGCGAACCTGAGCGGTACGACGCTGTCGAATTGGGCCTGAATTTGCCCTGAACCAGCCGCTATCGAAGTAAAATTAGGTGTTTTGAAGACCACACGGGAACACTGCGGCCATGTCTTCTTTCCTGCGTCGTTTGTTTGAAAATCGGAGTGTTTTTGAGCTCGTAGTTTCGTCTTCGTTGTGGAATGGCCGTGCGTACATTCTCCTTGGAATTACCAAAGTCACACCCCGTTTCTTACATTACCAGGAGTTTTGCCGGCAGCCACGATAGTTTTTATCCCTGCTTCCATACATCCTTTCATTGAATAGCCAAACGAAACTTTGTGGCGCGCCTTAGTTTTTTGTGGCGCGGGGGTCTCAAGTTTGTCACTTCGAGTTGTACACAACAGCCACATCATCTCAAAGGACCAAAAACACCAAGTGAGCAAAGTATTTCAACGTTGCGATTTTGCCTGACCTACTGTGAAGATGGAGACTTCTACTCGGTAGCAGATACTCGTATCAATAAGCTGGGAGGGAGAGCGTGGCGAGTAAAATGTTGGGATGAAAAGAGCCACATTCTCTCTCGGAAAAGTCGTCGTTCTCACACACGTACACTTGCTCTACCCAGATCTGCCAGAAGGCTAGATTTTGCATGCACGTGCGAGATTCGCATCCGCCGCGCACATAGCCAGAGTCGAAATATTTGTACTCTCGGATTAGCCGCCATCTTGACGAGTGCCGCTGCGAAACACCCGTGACGCACTCTCACCTTACTCGTCCTTACTCCTTAGCAAATTTTGACAGGTCCTGTCACGTGACTGAAGTGCCTACTACTAGTACTAGCAGTGCTGAGTGGGCTCATCATGCACAACTTCAGCAGGGTTTTCCCTGATCGACCACCATATTAATTTTAGCACTTACCAGATTCTGCAAAGTGAACTACAGTCAACTTCGCTAATAACGACTGCGGATATAACGACAATTCGCGAATAACGACCGAATTTCCATGCCCAGAGCAAAGTCCCATCTAACTGTATACATTTAACTTCGGATATAACGACTATCTGAATAACGACAATTCGCGTATAGCGACATGCTTTTAGTGCCCCGTGGTCATATTCACTGCTTGAATAACGACTTTCTGGGCTTTTGACAGCTATTTCAAGTACCTGTCAGTCAAGTACATGTACCTGTCATGCAGAAGTACCAGAACCTATGGTGATAAAAGGCACACATGCAAGAAAATGCAGCCAAGGGGGGGGGGGGCTTTTTTTCCTTTTATAATGTTGGCTTCAAAATTGTTGGATTTACCAGCACACCTATATTATGTATACAATGTACATGTAGTTGTACATGATTGTACAGTAATCATCATACATGTACATGTACATGTCTCTGGCCCTGTAGATGGCTCAAAAAGGCATATTTTTCAATTCATTTCCCTTGCATATTGAATTTTTAGTTCCTTGCAATTGCAATATGAAAATAAAGTACACATTGACATAGAGCAAGACAAGAGCTTGATTTTGATATGCATATCATACTATACAAAATATGGGTTCACATACATTCAAATGGGACTTCGGTTATAAGGACACTTCGCGAATAAGGACACTTTTCTGATGCCCCGCCGAATGTCGTTATTGGCGAAGTTGACTGTATGGCCATGCCCATGAAACAAAGAACATTGGTTTTACTCGGCCCTGAACATTCTGGATATTTCTTCATCCCATGTCCCCGCAGTTCAGAAGGCTTTCCTTCTGTATCTGTTGGCGAGGGACACAAGCAGTGGTTGCAACTTGTGGCGTTGTCAGTGGTTATAGTCTCACTACAGTCAATCAATCTCATGATGGTAGTCAGTGGGTAGTATAGGAGAGAAGAACATTTACATCACAGCAATTGAAAAGAAAAGAAAATTAGTCAAACGGACCATCATGCCAGTAAGTCAGATGATGAACGTCTATATTGTGGATTGTTGGTAGGGGGTGGACTAGCATGTATTATAAAAAGGATCATGAAGATGATCGGCCAGTCTATATCCCTTTCAATTAAATTAAATAGAAAATCATGAGGCATATCGAACAAAGTTTGCTGTGATAGCTGTCGAATATCAACTTCGAACATTTTAAACGAGACTGAGGAATTTCTCCCGATCACATGTGCTGTTCAATTAAATTTAGTCTTTTGTGTTGAAAGCCTAATCACGCTATAAAAACGAAATAAACTAATTTTGTACATTGCTCTATGATCTATTAGCAAGAGTGCATAAACAAGAGTATGCAACTGTGGTTATGGGTCAGTGCGCGGCGCGCTGCCTTCATTACGTAACTTGCCTTCATCACGCTCTGAAAGCATGCATCCAAACTCTCAATTTCTCGCACGAGCCCATCCGTTTTTGCTCGATTCGTTCCAGTACCTACAAAATCTCTGAATTCTGGCGCGTAAACTCCAGTTCCGTACGAAAGTTCATTTCAGACTGGAGGGAAAGTGCGGTGTTTGATTTTCCGCAGTGCGCGGACTGCAGCTGAATGATGTAATGAAGGCAGCGCGCCGTGCATCTGGCCCATAGAAAAGAGATCACAGTTGCATACTCTTGTTTATGGACTCTTGCTATTAGAGGTAAAGGAAAGGAAACGACTCCGGGAAAGCTTCCTGCTTTTACAGTCAGCCACTGAACACGAACAGGAAGTATCACAATACTCCTCTAGGTAGTGATGTAGACTGGGTGGTGAGTGCTGTTGTTACTATTGCACCCAGCATCTGTGCATTGCCGGGTATGCACGCAGGGAGACATTGAGTCAACAGCACGCTCCTGTCACTGCAACTGGAGCTACTGCTGGGCGCAGGAAACCGTTGGCTGGTCATCATCATCTTCTTCATCTGAGCCGGCGCCCCTGTAAGCCGCGCGGTGACTACTACTACTGTGACGACTGCGCCCGTGCGCTTCCTTGTCAAACTCTAACAATACAACTTCTTCAGTGTCCTCGCCAAGGCCACTTGCAGTTGCTGCAGGAGTCAGACGTGGCGGTAGGTGAGATTCCAATACCTGATGACGGCAAGTCATAGTAGTAGACAGATAGGATTATATCAAAGAGCAACAACTTCCAGTATACAACACCTACATACATGTACATACAGTCAAGTGTAGATAAACAAGAGTGTGCAACTCCGGGATGGGTTGGCCCGCGGCGGAATTTTTTGTTGACGTAATCTTTTCAACGACGCACGCGCTGCGAGTCTTTCGGAAAGCTTTGCCTCGTGCACTTGGCCGGGCTTTACATTACAAGGTCGGTGCCCAGCACGTGCTCTCACACTGTTCTGTGGCAAAATGCGCGTTTCTCTGAAAAAAGGTGACGTCAACAAAAAATTCCGCCGCTGGCAGGGGTATCTGCAGATTGTGCAGAAGAGACCCGGAGTTGCACACTCTTGTTTATCTACTCTTGATACAGTGAAACTTGATTTTTTAACAGTAATAACTTCCATTTTGCTGTACGGGAAATGCGTTGTAGCACCCAGAGAGGCAAAAAAACCTTGACTTGAATTCCAACCCTTGTTACTCAGGGACTCGGAACCTTATACATAGAAATAAGAGTGCATACAACAAAGAGCATGCACCTGTGACTTGGGGCCAGTGCGTGACGCGATGCCTTCATTACGAAACTAACTTGCCTGCATCACACCCTGTACTCGTGCACCAAACTCCGCAATCTCCCATACCAGCGGCAGAGCCGGTTTTGCAGGCAGATGCGTTCGAGTAAAGACGCCAACTCTCAAATTTGGGTGCACCATGAACTTCTGTTCCGTACAAAAGTTTGTTTCAAATCACAGGGACAGTAGTCACAGTACGGCGTTTGATACTTCCGCAGTGCGCAGATATAGCTGCATGATGTAATGACGGCAGTGCACCGCGCATCTGGCCCATAGAAGGGAGATCACAGTTGCATACTCTTGTTTATGGACTTTTGACAGAAAGGACGAGGATTGACGTTTTTGGCATTCCTTACCTTGAGTTGAGCTGCCGACTGAAAGCCATTTGGAGGAAACACCACGTCGAACTTGACAAGTAAATTGCCTTTTTCAAAGGGACTCCGGTAGTGTGGCATGCCTTCACCTTCAATGACAAACTGTGATCCTGCCGCGACACAAGCCAAGAGTAAAACGGTTACCAGTAGAATGGATGAATGATAGCTGCTCTTCCTACCTGGCAATTATTACTCTTACTCTTATTATTAGAAGCTTCTCCGCAAAACCTTTAGGGCATCAATGCAATGTAAATATACACAACATGTAAAGCTTTCGCATAAACCAAATCGAAATCTGGAAATTCCTAATCAACACTTGTTGTACATTAAAACCATGCACCGTCTCATCTGAGAGCAGTGTTAGCGATCTCTTCAATTACCATGTACTACCACAGTATGTTTGGCTGGTGGTGAGCCGCCGCGACTTCATAGGTAGCTGCGTTCCGGTATCTTGACTAACTGTCAGTCAGTTTCATTATTTATCATGAGAGCATGCCGGTATGCCGCATCACAGGTCAGATTTCTATCCCGGCTGGCGCCTATTTCATCTCACTGCTCCCTGCGTAGAGCCTGAGCTATACATTCACAATGCAACCCGCTAACTTGTCGTGCCTGTTCTTTCTGCATGCCTACATGCATATACGCTACAATGCACCGGGAAGAATGAGCTAATCCTTCTTTGCTTCTCTCGACTTCATTCAGTTAGCATCTTGTCAAAGAGCTGTGCAGTCATTTGAAACAATCTTGTCTGGCTGTACCAAGGAACTTCAGCATTATAGTCAACGTTAGTCATCTGTGATCTTTGTTGTAATTGGCGACAGTGTAGAGGTCGCAGCAAGTACATTTAAAATGTCATGCATACAGTATTATACTGTCTGCCGTTTCGGGGAGGGTGGGAGGGAGAGAGAGGCGGAGGGCAGGAGGGAGAGAGAGGGGAGGGAGGGAGGGAAGAGGGAGAGTGAGAGAGAGTGAGTGTGTGTGGTCTAGGAACAACTAGTTCCACACACCTGCAGCAAATGGAGACAATTATGGGTGAGCCCTACCTAAATCATGCAGTGGAGTCCTATTCTCTTCAAGGGTACACAGCCACTGAGCTACTCCATAATGCCTACCTGGTGTGATTACTTGTCCCTCGCACGTGTTGACTAACAGTTGACGCTCATCAAGGTGGACGATGTTAAATGCACAGCCACACAGTGCTTCCGGCAAAGATACGGATTTCTGAATGTGCAAGTCGTTGCCTTGCCGGTGGAACATGTCGTGCTTGGTCAGGCGAAGAGTGATAAAAACATCACCGGGCTCTCCATCGGGCTTGACGGAGCAAGACGAGAAAAACATTGAAACACCCATAACTCTGTGAAAGATACTTAAGTAAAGATTTTTGGACCTAGGTTTTTTACAGAGTCACGATCTGCTGGGCTACAGCAATGTCATGGTATAGAAAACTCAAAATGCTCCAAAATGACAGAAGCCCCTTTTTGCAAGCAGTGTAATATGCAATGATAAATGCAGTGTTAAAAGAAAGATAATAAACAAAAAGTCCAAGTAAGCCCATGGGCTTGTACGCCGATGCCCAGTTGTGTGCGCCCTTTGCCTGGGCTTTTGCTCGGGCATGGGCAGATGCTCGCACGAGCTTCGATGATCCACAGGATTCTACAGGGCAGCCTAGAAAAGCCTGAGCATCCTGCTTGCGGACCAGTACCACCTGCTCCGAGCGGTCTCAGTGACGATCTCACTGGACCGTCAGGTCCGTCACACATCATGTGTCAGTCATCTCTTCCATCACTCGGAATATCAGTGGAATGTCATACAACCCGCAAAACGCATTGTTGACAAGCTTGTTTCATTGGAACACTTAGCACACCTAGCATTCCCACTGAGATAAGTTACCTCCTGGTCTCCTTCTCCACGAAAGGATATCTTCTGCCCGTCTGTCATGCCTTTGTCAACGTGAACCTGCAAGCCAAGTATGAAAACCAGACACCGTGCAATAGATCATTAACACTTGCCAACGGTAACACGGGCCCTGGCATACACTAGCCCTGGCATACACTAGCCCATGGATTGCACACATGCACACAGACAGACAGGTGAACCTACCAACATCCAAGTGCATGTGTACACACACACACACATGCACGCACACACACACACATGTTGTAGTACGTTGTTTTGTGTACGTCGTGTGTACGTCATGTTGGTGCATGCGCGTGTTGCTGTGGTGTGAAAAGCAGTCTTCGTCTTGAGTTCGTCACGTCTAGTTGTGTTTCCATAGTCGTCTTGTAATAAACAGTCTTCCTAAATGTAGTTATCGTCGTCCCTTTGTATAAGTGTGGAGATGACACGGGACTGGGAGCAGGTGGAGAAAGGCAGTTACAACATTGGTGGCAGCGTTGGGATTCGAACCCACGCCTCCGGAGAGACTGGACACACACCTGTACAGCCATGCATGGCACATTGATGTCTACGAGAACGACAAAAATACATGTACTACAATTACAAACAACAACTCAGCCGCACCAATTACCTCAATCTTTTTGTTTTGCTTTACGACCTTGCGTCCCTGGCAACCTCTGCAACGGTCCCTTTCTCGGATTACCACACCTGGTAAGCAACACGGTAAACACAAGTAACAACCAGAGCTATAATTGAAAGCAGCCTTGAGCAAAGTTGATATAGCAGCAATGACCAGACGTCCACACTGTGTCATAGCTATGCCACGGCAGCATGCACTATTTACGAACCGTGACCCCTACTTCAAAGTAAACGAAGCCGTGTGATGCATGGGAACCGTCGGCTGAGCGGCAGACACTCACTGGCAGCAGCGTGGTCTCACAACGTTATGTCCAGAATGACCATTCACGCAGGACGGTACCAATTATTAAAATAGCATAAAATATGTCACACAAACACCAGCCCCTTCGTCACTTCAAATCTAACGAAAAGCATAGAGGAAGAGTATAATGCGAGCATCATGAAAGTGTGCATAGATCCTATTTTTAAAATTACCTTCTCCATTGCAGTCTGAACACTTTGCCCTAACTTGCTGGATCATGCCGATGCCAATCTGCCGCAGGAATATGCGAACGCCGTTGCCATCGCACGCATTACAGGGACGAGTAGCGCCGGATTTAGCCCCTTTCCTAAAGTGACAGTGCAAGGAACGCACCACAAACAATGATCCATTTAACCGCCCGATGTAGGTACAATGCTGTGTTACCGTCTTGGGTTCACTGGCAAGTAGCAACCCGCGGTCCACAGCTTCTTGGAATGGTTGCACAATTTCCGGCTCCACTTAATTAATCTGGACATCTTCTGAAGTCTGATGCCATACATCCCAGCGGCACTCAGTTTACACCTGTCTAGCATTCCTACGTGTTCATCATGTATATACGTAGGACGCCAAACAGGCTGAAGCCTGGCAGTGCACACAAGGAAGCAAACCTTCACCGTGAGGGAAGTAGAGCTGCAATGAAGGTTAAAAGATGACACGGTCAAGGCGCGTAGCAACGCCGTTGGAGGTTGTCCGGCCGGAGGGGATCCAGGGTCTCCCAGGGGGAAAAAATGAAATTAGGGTGCAAAATCCTGCATTCTGGTCGTGGTCGGGCGAAAAAGTGGTCCGGCCACTACGCCCCTGACACCACAAAATAAAATCAACTGAATGCACCCCCCCCCCCCCACACACACACACAGCAATCTTGACGACTTTACGAGTACAAACACCATAGCATGACACAAGTACACGTACCGGTATAACCAAGCCATGCTAGTCCTACTTCAGAAATAACAAAGAGGAAGTTGCGGGGCACTACCAGTGCGGCCTAAACCGCGGCCTGTAACGTACCCTTTGCAAGCTGTGCAAATGGCATTCCTCGTCACCTGCAGGCGTGCTGTCCGTCCGTTGTACAGATCTCTCAATGAAACCCTACACCAAGATGCACAAGGTTTGTATAAACAAGCACACATCCATGCACACCTTTTATACCCTGAAACAACCCATCAGTACGAACATGGGGATTCTAGCTGATAATTACTTTTTTAACACTAAACATGCATACCAGTATGGTATGTACCAGCAGCTTTTGGCGGAAATTACGGTGACGACTGTATTCAATATCTCGCAAACCATGTGTGGAGATTGTTTCTTCCTATGCTACCGTAACCTGGCACATGTACATGCACATATACTATAACACATGGCCGGGAGTCAGAATAGCATGTCGAGACGACACACAAGCATACCCGGTAGCAGCCAAGAGGTGCACATTCGGCCCTGGCCATGATTCGGAAGTTCTAGGTGATCTGGGGCCTAAGTAACACATCACGGTCACGATCACAATCATGACCTGTTGACTGCTAACGCGGTCCAGACCTGCGATGATAGACACAAGCATGCATAAGCCGGCGCCACCCCATGAGCGACGACCATCCTGGGAATGAAAACGTGCAACATTGATTGATTCTACAACAACGATTCGGAACATCATGGTAGCTTAACTACTTACTTTAAATCATGTGTAAGATCTCCACCTTTCTTTTGTTGACGGCGTGACCTACCGCCTCCGTCAGCGAATGAGGAGCCAAATCCACCTACAGAACAACCCAAGTAACGTCAAAGGGATTTCCAAACCAAGATCCAAAACCATGCATAGTACCCGTGTCCCTCTAACATAGAGCATACCCACCCCCGGGTGTTAGCGGAAACTTTCCAGATCGAGTCCCCGGCAAGCGAAAACTACAGCACTGTACTGCTCAATGAAATCCAGTCGTGTCACTCAAGTTCGCACCGGGCTTTGCGCAGCCCTAGACCTGCAGACACTGGGCTGCGAAACGGTACAAAGTGCAAACTTGAGTGACGAGATTGGATTTCATTGAGCAGCAGCACTGTACTTGTTTTGTTTTTTTTTGTAGCTGACCACGCGCAGCACATCAAGGATCAGAACACTGAACATGCACGCCGCGGCTGTACTACATAATCTCAGTGCCTCGTTACAGTGACATACTGATCAGGGCTTGCTGTTTAAAGGGGACTGAGTGCATCGATTTTTCGAGTAGGGTCCAGAAGAAAGACAATTTGATATCGGTTCGCATGGCATATCTCTCGCTTCCATACGATAAGCCAAACTTGCCAAATCGCCAATTGTATACTCACGTTGCCATAGCGACCAGCGCAGTGATGACGTATGAAAGGCTTAGCTCCACCACAGAGAAAGGTCGATCACTGCAGAAATTGGTCATTTTCAATTGTCTTATTGTATTCACGATGTGAAAGAAGGGCTGTGTTCAATGCTGTTAGTGCAGTGAACTGTTTGTTAGTAGTCCTCTCGGTTGTGTATTGGGACGCGACGTGACACCGACAGGAGAAAGTAAGAAGGCCTTAGGCCTGTGGGAATGCCCTATTAAAAATTTAAATAATAATAATAATAATAAAGCTGGAGTGCGGAGACATCAGCAGACAAGCGAAAATACTTCAAAATAGTGACGAACAAAATGCTGAAATCTTGGTTGGGACAAATCAGACGTTCAGCATTTCCCCCAACCAAGGACCATGCCGTTTGCTCTTTCCACTTCCTGAAGATGGATGTGATGCTTCCTGGCGACTCTCCTATCTCTCATAACATCTTCTGAAGCCAGGTGAGACGACGGGTGGTGGAGATTGACGAATGAAATAATGTCGTAGGTTTGAAAGTTTGCTGAAAATGTCTCAGGAGAGATGGCGAATACCAAGCATCTTCTCCTTATAGAGGAAACCATTTCCTAGGCACAGTCAGCCTAGGGAAATGCAGGAGAAGGCCGATAAACAGTTCACGGTACTAACAGCATTGAACACAGCCCTTCTTTCACATCGTGAATACAATAAGACAATTGAAAATGACCAATTTCTGCAGTGATCGACCTTCTCTGTGGCGGAGCTAAGCCTTTTATACGTCATCACTGCGCTGGTCGCTATGGCAACGTGAGTATACAATTGGCGATTTGGCAAGTTTGGCTTATCGTATGGAAGCGAGAGATATGCCATTCGAACCGATATCAAATTGTCTTCCTTCTGGACCGTACTCGAAAAATCGATGTACACGATTCTTGCACTATATGATACGCAGTACCCTACAGAGAGTTCAGAGGACACAAAAAACATACTATACTGTAGTGTATGCAGTTCAGGAAGTCCACTTTCAAGCCTGCTGCAGTTCAGCTGCACAGCCAACTATGATCCTCGTAGATAGCACGGACAGTGGTAATCACAATACATGTATCAGAATTTACAGGTACCATATTTTTGAATGTGATCCACAACATTTGAATGTGCCTGGGGGCTAACGTTGAACCATACCAAAGAGTCCACCGCCAAAGATCTGAGAGAAGAGGTCAGCATCGAAACCTACACATAACGACAAGTCCGAGAAGGCAAACACCACACAACAATCAAAATTACAGCAGTGTCACAGCAGACCCGTCGCACCGACTCTGGAGGTGGGGCGGCAGGGCCCCCGTGAAAAATTTCAAAAATTGACGCCAAATGCAAGCATTTCCGGGCATTTCAAGTGGTGCCATTTCAGTGTAACTACAATGAAAGACTTATTGATTCTGCAACAAACCAAGAAGACGCTACGCTACGGTCGGGGACAAAGGTTCTTCACTATCCTCCCCTGGAAAAAATTTCAAGAATTGAAGCCAATTCCAAGCATTTTCAGGCATTTGGTGCCATTTCAGTGTAACTAGTCACGCGGCAATGAAAGACTTTTTGATTCTGCAATAAATCACGATCGGTGACAAGGATTCTTCATCATTTGCCACGTTTGGGCTGAGCTGCGATCACCGCACTTTGTTGCAGTGTGCTCCAAAAACAAACAACAAAAAAAGTGGGGCGGCTGAGCCGTGACTGACGGCCTTGCACAGTACAGCCTGACAAGTTGAAGATAAACAAAGCATGTCCAATTGCTCAACTCATGACCCAGACTGAACTATGGTGAGTTTCTAAGCAAACAGACGAAGCACATTGCGATCATTTCCCCGCTCTAACCTGAACCACCACCACCGGCGCCTTCTCGCAAGCCCTTTTCACCATAGCGGTCGTAAGTCGACCGCTTTTCCGGGTCGGACAGCACGTCGTACGCAAAACTTATCTCCTTGAACTAGACCAGGACAAACACATAACAGGAGAAGCAGCCGGCACGGGACATTCAATGCATTGCAGCACAGCAAAAATTATGTGTATTCACCTCCGCACCGGCCACTGTGCGGAACCACGGCCACGCATTGACGGCGGTCCCTCTATGAAGCATGCAGCACATGATCGGAGAGCTGTGTGCTACTATCTGTAACACTGAATGCAAGATGCACCTCAACACGGTCACCAGTGCCGTTCGGCCCGGTGTGCTTCCCCAGTGCAGCATGCACCCCGTGTGACACTCGCCCTGGTACATACTGCGGCTACCAGAGCCAATATGCCATGAGCCAGATAGGTACCTGCATCCACAACTTCATGTCGCTGAGGCACCAAGCTAGTAAGATAATATGGCCCGATATCTGAGACTTTCGACCTTCGGGGCTACGCGGTTTTTTTGAGAAAACACTAAAAACAAATTTGTTCGCAAAAAAATCGATTCCGTCAAAGCAAAGTGCAGAGACGACAATGGCGGAAGAAAATTGAAGGCGATTCTTGTGTCAGTTGGTTATTGGGCTCACGGAGCACAGCAGCCGCGATCCCATGGACGGTGATGCATCGTTCTTTGTGGATATCCTGTCAAGCGGCGACAGCGCTTCTAGTTCTGAGAGCGCATGTCAGGCGAATCGATCGCAAGTGACATGCGGTACTTACCTGTCGGGGCCGACGATGATGAGGACTTGGCCTGGATGAGTATGATCAAGGCCAACCACAGTCTGCCTCAGCGATAGCTGCTACAGCTCCAGGCAAGGACAACCAGGTGGATTCCTGAGGGTACGCCGCTTGCAAGGTCGCTGGGCGCCCTTGCGCGAGTGGCAGAACTGTTTCCTGAGTGTCACGCCAGACCTGCTAAAACAGCACGAAATGATGCGAGTTTTCTTTGCGACGATTATCCTAAAATGTTTGGGATGGCAAGCTCGATACTCGAGCTAATAATGGCGAATCAGACCATCACGGAGCACATGAGGCTGGGCAATCTCGAGTAACATTCTGTTACTTTTGAGTTGGTGGTGTGAAACGCTTGTCAGGCTGGTTTACTGATGTTTGGAAATGGTCAGTCTCCACAAAGTGCAACAAGGCGAATCTGGACGCATTTGCTCTGTTTGACTCCTTCACAATAAGTATGTGAATGCTGTCACATGTATCATGGTGTTCCGTCAAAATCTGTTGCAGACTATCCTGTCAAGCATGTCCATCACCAGGAGAACAGATAAATCACCTCTCCTTCTAATGCTGCTATTGCTGCTGTTGCAACTACACAACCTCAATAAAGTCCGCCTGATGGAATGCTGGAAATGAAGTACCTGAACAGTCAAAACACTTTACTATTATTAGTTGGCTATTGATATCACATGGAAACAATTTTTGGTGGCTCCAAACACACTGATCTTTCAAAATTGTAAAAAAAGAACAATTCATTAACATGACTCCTGACTGTAGAATGCATTTCTACATGGTCAATCATGATTGGTCTGATGGCCGTGAAACGAAGTCACAATACTCTACAAAGGCAAGACATCAATTTGCAATAAAAAAATCAATTTCACCAAAACAGCCCCGAAGGTCGATTTTCTCAGATATTGGGCCATATTATCATTGCTGTGTGCGTGATGGTGATTTAATTAATTCCTCTGCCTGTGTAGGAAGCGAATGGGTTCATAGAGCATGGGTTTTTTTCAGCCTAGGCAGCACCCGGGTAGAGATGCCTTGCCGCAGTGCAGCACCAGGAAACATTGTACAATGTACTAGTACACTGCTGATGTGACAACATGTGCTTGAGCCGTTGATGAGAGGGAGAGCAGGATATGTCTCGCTAAATCTGTTGGTGTCTAGTGTCTGATATTCACAACATATCTCTGTACCTTGTCCCCGCTATCTGGATTCTTGTCCGGATGATACTTCATGGCCATCTTGCGATACGCCTGTAGTGCAGAAGCAAAATAGACACACGGTCAGTACAGATACGGAGGAGAAGATTATGAAGAGAGCCAGAAACCCGATCACATCCGCCGTGCCACATCACTTTGCCACGGCATCGAACCTGAATGAACGAAACAGAGAAGAGGCGCTAGCGTACCTTCTTCAATTCTGCATCGTTCGCTTCGGGATTCACCCCAAGGATGTCGTAGAGACGAGTGTCTTTCTCCCTACGAGCCATTGTGCCTCCGTCTTCGTTCCGAAAGGCAATTGAGCACAAAATACAACGACTGAAAGAGGATAACAATAATTATTATTATGAAAGTCGTAGAAAGTCAACAGGGAAACTCTTGAAAGTAGACGCCCGAAACCTAACCAGGCCGGCCAGGGAGTCGTAACATTTTTAATACGACTCCCTGACCGAAACATCACAGCATGGAGCAGTGGGGAAATCCCCTATCCAACACAGCGGTGTTTTTTTTTTAGTTTTGTAGTTTTCAAAAACATTTTTGAAACAGAAGTGCACTTTATATTCTTATTCAGCTAATCAGAGAAGAAGGAAGAGTTGAATCTTGTTCTAATCTGATCATTTCTGCCACCTCGTATCAGTCCTGAAGCAGTGATGGCTTTCACGACGTCTCTGGACATTGCCAGTGATAAATTCACTCACATTGGATTGTTTGAGAATGTGCGCAACATATCTGAGGTCCGGCAAGATGTCATTGGTGGCAGGTGCAGTGCAGCTCTTGTTAGCCCTCAAATGGTAAGGTTATGCCTTATTTCTTGTGACAACATATTTGCTCACTGGAATTCTCCACACAGCGATGCAAGGAGGCGTATGACAGATATTCTCAAGACAGAAATACATTTTTGTGAAGGACCCCCTCCATTGCCAATAGAAAATTAAATTATTCCCGTAGCTATATATGCAGAAGACGTTACTTCAGTAACGTCTGGCGCTAGCCAGGGTCCACACAGCTTTAATTTGGTGTTTGTGTGTTTGTGTCACGCCTGGCGCTAACCCGTATCTGTCCCGTACCGTACCGTACCATCAAACACAGCTGGCCACATACAGCTGGCCGCAATATTCAAATAGGGCTTTCAAACGCAAGATCATAATGTGAAGCAACTTGGAAGAATGAGTATGAATGCGAAGTGTATGGGGGAATGCATGTAGGGCGATAGTGCGGTAGGCCTCGACCAAATATGCTTGCGCATATTTCCGCGTATTTTTGTGAGACAGTTCATATATAGCCTATTGAGCGACTAAGGGAATATTGGAATGAAGCCAGCATATAATGCAAATATTCTGAAGAAAACGAGGACAAAACATTCATAGTATGGACAAAATGCGTTCAGAAATGCCTTTTATGGCTGAATTTGGAATGGTTGAGGTGTTTCCCACATTTCCCCTGTGGATAAACACTATCGCTACGGTAGCTGGGGACATACCCCAGCCATACTATTCCTATTTTTAACAGTGAAGCCAATGAATATTCCAAGGTTGTAATTTTACTGAAATGATCTACACTTTCTGCTTATGTCGAGCATATTGTGGCATTTTTTGGCATATCTTTTTGCATATCTTGCTAAGCCTTTGGCATATTATGGCCGTTTTCCCTGATATGCGACGAGCATAATATGCTCTTTTTTTAGCATATTTGGTCGAGGCCTATAGTGCGGGTTCGAATCCCAGGTAATGCCTAAAAAATAGGAGAATTGAAGAATTTATAACATCCCTATTCTTTTTTTGCCGTCATCAAGGCGGTAGATGGTGTCGTATTACCCTCGACCGCACCTGTCCCGTACCTGTCCCGTACCGTACCGTACAATCAAAGACGGCTGGCCACAATGCATATTCAAATAGGGCTTTCAAATACAAGATCATAACGTGAAGCAACTTGGAAGAATTAGTATGTATGCGAAGTGTATCGGGGGATGCATGCAGGGCGATAGTGCGGGTTCGAATCCCAGGTTATGTCTAAAAACAAAAAGTAGAAATTTATTAGAATTTATAACATCCCTATGCTTTTTTTGTCTAGGTCATCAAGGCAAAAAAGCATAGCGTAGGGCCCTGAGCTTCCAAGCTCTCTCGTTTATATCAATGCTTTGTTGTGAGCTCAACCTTCTCTGATGAGGTCTCAATGACCGAAAAAGCTGCCAGACGGAATTTCAGTACTCAGAAGGAACCCCTTGCTGTTGTGGAAAGTGTGTGTGTGTGTGTGTGTGTGTGTGCGTGCGTGCGTGCGTGTGATCGACCCCAGAGCGCGACTGTGGTGGAGTCCGCAGAATTTTCACGGCCAAATGCCCTCTTCAGTGAAATATTTTGTCTTGCTTTGGCAATACACTGATAGACATGGTCACAAAAATTAATATCACCAAAAGGATAGAATGGATGGTGGGCTCGCACCCAGTTGTAGTTTCATTGTCACTGATCGTCAGCGTGGACGATCTGTGCTGCAAGTATCGACTGCCCGGACTATACCAGTATTTAGAGGGTCCATTTAACGATCGCCAGCGCAACTATTACATGTAACCATATCTAATAGTTGCGCAGATGATCGATTAGCGGATAAACACATCATTTGACTAGACGAAACATGCAGCGCAGATTGTCCGCGCTGAAGATAAGCGACGATGGAACTACACAATTGTACAACTGCACAACATGTTTGACCTGACTGCCACCAATGGCGATGTGCTGTTTGACTGCTGAGCTCTTTGGGCACCCTGTAAGAAGACCTTAGGGTCTGTTGGGAATGCCCAAGTAAAATAATATAATACAATACAATACAAAGCTCTTGCTGGAGCTCAAGCCTGTATGCTTCTCTATTGTTCTTTTGGAAACGGGAGATCCAGATGACCTCGGACGCATGGCGTTGCACACTTGAATGCAATTGGAGCTACATGTAGGTGTATTGATATTTAGTGCATATGCCGTAAAGATAGTGTACCATGAGAACGCCCCACCGTCTGGACCCCTTCGTGATCGTGCTTTGGAGTAGGCTGGCGAACAAGTCCTGTCTGCCGATCATGCGACCCATACTTGTACACACATTGCATGATGCGCACAGTAAGTCCGTACACGAACAGTTAACTGGCGCAAGGCCATGTGTAACCCTAGTACACATATACATGTACATGTACGCAGGTTCTTACATCGCATGAACTTAGGCTGTGTTTAAATGGGAATTTTCAACCCGGGTCGAGTTCAGCCGGGTTGAAAGTCTGTACGATAGACAAAATAGGTGGGTGTTTACATGAAGACAGTTGACCCGGGTCAAATACTGATATGCCACCAAGAGTCCACTTCTAGAGTCCTGTATGGTCATGTGAATACTTTCGTGTGAAATTTACCTGTGCACTGCTGTTCAAACCTGGTGCGAGATACGCACAGAAGTACGGTCGTACGATTTCTCGATTTCAACTAGGGGTGAAACGATTATACCAAATACTTGAAATAGAAATCGTTACAAGCTAGCGAATCGATTACAGGTGAAATCCTGATAATTCGAACCTAAAAATGCCAGGAAAAACTTCTAATTATCCGGACATTCTAATTATCCAAACATGAACCCACAACTCAATATGTATGTCAAAATGCTCTCATGGTCACGCAGAGTTGCGCTATGGACCTTAGACACAAATTTTACGGACACTGAACTGACCGACACAGCCTGCTCATGCAAACTGAACTGACCTGTACAGTGTACAGTGAACTTCGAATT